GATAGATGCCAACACTTACTATTTACCAGCAGTTTCTTTTTTCTTGTATTTTACCTTGGAAAACTCAAATATTAAGATAATAAGGAACAAGGCAACTGCTTACCCCATTTTTTGTTGCTAATGCCCGAGTACCAAATACCTTACATAGTGCATCAGACAAAGTGGGCATTGACACATATGAATAATTGGTTTTCCCTTTATATGCATTTTTTAAAATAAAAAAGTAATAAATCTCATATATTCCCTCACTGCGAGAAGTGAAGTCACAGGGAACCAAGTAGAGGGCCTCCTTGGTAGTGGCACCTGCCTTGTGGAACGCCCTCCCATCAGATGTCAAGGCAGTAAGCAACTCTCTTACTTTTAAAAGACGTCTGAAGGCAGCCCTGTTTAGGGAAGTTTTTAAATGTTTAATGCTGTATTGTGTTTTTAATATTCGGTTGGGAGCTGCCCAGAGTGGCTGGGGAAACCCAGCCAGATGGTCAGGGTATAAATAATAATAATAATTAAAGGGATTGAGTGGGGAAAGTGGGGCATACATTTTAAAGGAGGAAAGGGAGACACAGACTGATTTTGTAAAATGCAGGGGGGAAATGACAGCAAGATTAGAACTACCAATAACTTCTGGTGTTAGCAAATATGCAGTTCTTGGGGGGGGGGACACAGTTCTTAAAAAATAATACCGCTAAACCAAATGACCCATATGTTGTACACAGATTTCCCCACAAATATACCTTTAAGAAAAAGAACACACACGAGGCAGGTAGAAATTATGCTGCATAAAAATTACATGGCAGCATTTCTACCGGTTGTATTTATGTGCATAAATCCAAGTATAATTTATACATCTAATGTTTTGTAGAACCAGAGTCTGACTATGTAAATAAAATTGAACTGTAATCCCAAGCCATGTGAGATGTATTCATTGAACGGTACTGAAATTGGAAATATCAAAGCCTTAAACTGGTACCTACTTACATTTTTACCTGGCGGGTAATCAATTTTGCTGGAACCATGCCCATTGTGGCTGACAAAGCCAATGTTCCAGGAAAATATGGTCCCTGAAAACCTAGTGCCATCCCCTGGGAAGTATAGTTTGCTACGGGTGCTTAGTTTTTAGGGAACCGCTATTCCCTTCAGAGAACTACAGTTCTCAGATTGCCCTTGGCAAAAGGACTGATCGTTAAGACACTGGTAATGTTTGAGGGCAGGAGGGAGCTAACAAATTTCAGAACCCTTAATAAACTACAGTTCCCATGATTCTTTGGGGGAAACCATAACTGTTTAAAGCGGTATGATACTGCTTAAAATGGATAGTGCAGATGGGTGTTACAAACACTTACGCATGTGCAGAGACAACTTGTGCCTGTGTTCAGTGTAATATGTGCAGTCATAAACTTCAAATTCACGCGCAAATTTTCTCCCCCCACCTTCTTTGCGCCAGCACTGTATGGAAGTTACTTGCTCCTTAGTAACAACACAGAGCAAGGCACATCAGGAAAATTTGTGCTGACACCATAAATAGTTCATTCTTCAGCTCGAGCCCAGAACTGAGTACCGTATTTTTCGCTTTATAAGACGCACCAGACCACAAGACGCACCTAGTTTTTGGAGGAGGAAAACAAGAAAAAAATATATTCTGAATCTCAGAAGCCAGAACAGCAAGAGGGATTGCTGAGCAGTGAAAGCAGCAATCCCTCTTGCTGTTCTAGCTTCTGTGATAGCTGCGCACCCTGCATTCGCTCCATAAGACGCACACACATTTCCCCTTACTTTTTAGGAGGGGAAAAGTGAGTCTTATAGAGCAAAAAATACGGTAGTTCCCGTAAACCGGTATGCAGACCAGAATTACCAGAAGAAACAAGGACAAATATGCAGTCTTTATTACTCCTGTAGCAGAATTACCTCTTTTCTCCTTCTGTTTAAAGTAAGACAAGGGGAAGGAATTCTTTGCCAATGAGACTTTTTTATTTTGTATCCAACGAGGCACACAAATGCAGACAGACAAGAACACAAATGCAGACAAACAAAGATCACACTTTGGTCAAAATAACCCTGCTGAAGCTAACAGCCAGGCTTCCTTAATATCCCCGCCCCCCATTCGAAAGTTATAGAGACAAGACTTTTTTCTGCCTGTATTGCTGACAATCGGTGAGTCTTAATTATTAGCATTCTAGAAGAAGCCTGTGTACTGACTGCAAGATAAGCGAGATCTGCATCTTGGAAACGTCGTGAGGTAAGTCAGAAGGGCGTGTGATGAAATCAAACGCATCTGTGCATTTTGCATGAATCGCTCTCCATGTGTAAAGTTCTATAATTCATGAAGCAGCCCACGCTACAAGGATTGACTAGGCTTCTCCGGGTGAGATGAGTTTACCATGTGGAAGAAAGGGGTAAAGGGACCCCTGACCATTAGGTCCAGTCGTGGCCGACTCTGGGGTTGCGGCGCTCATCTCACTTTACTGGCCGAGGGAGCCGGCGTACAGCTTCCGGGTCATGTGGCGAACCAGAGCAGCGCACGGAAACGCCGTTTACCTTCCCGCCAGAGGGGTACCTATTTATCTACTTGTACTTTGACGTGCTATTGAACTGCTAGGTTGGCAGGAGCTGGGACCAAGCAACGGGAGCTCACCCCGTCGCAGGGATTCGAACCGCCGACCTTCTGATCAGCAAGTCCTAGGCTCTGTGGTTTAACCCACAGCGGTACTTCCAGTTTCCCATGTGCTCTCTGAGGTGAATGTACTGTGTGCCCTTCTGTACCCTTGAAATCAGCTCTTATTTCTACAGAAGAAGAGGGGCATGGAACTTCTGGCCTTCCAGAACTACAACTCCCATCAGCCCCTAGTGAGCTGGGTGAACAGTCAGGGATGATGGGATTTAGCGTACAGCAACATCTGGACTGTCAAAGGTAGGTAGGTAAGATGTTTAAGAGTGCCTTTCAGTGTTCCCCGAACTTGGGTCTCTGGCTGTTTTTGTACTACAATTCCCATCATCCCTGACCACTGGTCCTGCTAGCCACGGATTATGAGAGTTGTAGTCCAAATGTAGCTGAAGACACAAGTTTGGGGAACACTGCATAGCTGCTTCAGCTTACTTTGTTAGGATTTTTTTTTTAAAGGTTGTTTAACACACAAAACAAAATGTAAAAGCCCTGCTTATTGGGACTGAAATGATTTGCAGGACTGCTTTTTTTAAAAAAAGTAAAAGTACCTTAGTACTTACAACACAGCTGTCTCAGGTCATTTACAACTGAAAATAAAAAAATAGATCTGTACCACAGATTTAAATTTACATTACATTGGCCTTTATAAAACAAGATGCTATATACTATGGGTAAGTGGTATGTGCTTTCTTTGCTTGTAATTACTGTCAGAAATTATGAAACTGCTCAGATATCTGCTACTTGAAACCTTAGTTCACATGAAAACACACATTATTAATTCACAAAACAATAAAATGACCCAATTTTAAACTACATATTAATCCATCTGTTTTGATCCATTAAGCTGAAGATTCTACTCTGTTGAATACATTTCTTCGTCAGTAAAGTAGCACAACAAAATTCCAAAAACAGTATTTTCTCTCTCTTTTTTTTAAAAAAAAGATTCCCCCCCCCCGTCTATAATATTAAAAACATGTGCACTGGTGTTTCTACTATAAAGCTTTGCTCCACAAATCAAGTGATAAACAGTTATTAAACACATTTTACAATGATACCAGATAGTTGTGTGGACATGTCACCTTACACTTTACACAGAGTTTCAATATGGCATATGGAATGACTCGGTAAATCACTATTACACGGAGCAAAATCTTCAGATATGAAGAGCAATATCCTATTATGGCAAATCGACAAGAACCGGTGGCGTTTTCATCACACACACCCCTCCGAAAGTACTATAGGCAAATTCAGCATTTCAAAAAAATAAATAAATTATAGTTTTGAAAACCCAGTTTTTAAATGCAAACACACGATCTGAAGGAATGAAAGAGAGGTGGCTATTATTAGGTAGGTCCACATGTCACAATGATGTTGTGCATAACATGCAGACACCACATTGAAATACCCCGGAAATGTCTCTGTATTAGCCAGTTGTTACATTACGGACAAAATGGCACCCTTAAGAATCGAATCATCCTGCACAGCAAAAAATCCTCCAGAAAATAATGAGTACAGTGGTACCTCGGGTTACATACGCTTCAGGTTACACACTCCGCTAACCCAGAAATAGTGCTTCAGGTTAAGAACTTTGCTTCAGGATAAGAACAGAAATCAGGCTCCGGCGGCACGGCGGCAGCAGGAGGCCCCCATTAGCTAAAGTGGTGCTTCAGGTTAAGCACAGTTTCAGGTTAAGAACGGACCTCCGGAACGAATTAAGTACTTAACCCAAGGTACCACTGTACAGTTGTTCATACATACAGTTCCATGAGACTGTAGCCAATATTCTGCCTTCTAGTTTTTGCTGGACTAATCCCTGAGAGCTGCAGTCCAGCATCTTCTGAAGCATCCGACTGGCTACACCTGCTGTATGTGGTTTATATTATATTATATAGGAGTAAGCTACTCCTGTAACAGTAACGTATTCCTCCTCTTATTTCTCCTGTGTGTATTGGTTGTTTCAGACAATACAAATTTCTTGCAGTGCTTTTCCAACTCTTCTGTTATCTGGAACATTCCGGCTTGAGAAAATCAGAACGACTCTAAGGATCATTCCAAAATGTTGCCAGCATTGCAGCAGTTGCCCTGGCAGGCTTAACCAGAGTGCCTTAATAAATGCAGATGCATTTGTTACCCTGTTTGAAGTGTACAATATGAAGCAACAGTGTGCTGCTGCTTCTACCCATAATTCCCTAATTGCGGGCAGGAACACAACGTAGATAAATACAGAAATGTCTCCAGGAAGTGCTTGAGAATGACCTTACATCAATAAGCATAAAAACGCCAGTTATCATACAGTCAGCTCTTGCGAGTGCTATTTCCCTATAAAATCGTATGTAATTGGTTTTTGTTTTTTTGTTTTTTGCTTCTAAAACTTAAAACATTGAAAACCTGCTGTTAAAATGCTTTCTTAAGATGCTGTTCTCCCCTCCTTAAGTCTTCTGTCCAACTTCTTCAAAGTAAGGATATTTCTTCTTTAAACCCATCTCAGTTATTGTTACATCTCTACATTTAAAGTAGACATTGAAAACTTCAAGTAAAAATAATGGCAGCCACATCTACTGGACGTAATACAAATCTATGACACCTATTAGTTGTTGGGGTTGTGGGTCTGTGTGTTTCTAAACTTTTAAGTTATACAAATACACAATACATTCTTAAATAACAAGGGCCCACAGTATTATTAGTTTGTGAGCCTTTCCCAAATGACAAAGCCGCTTTTTCATTCCATAAACGTTTGCACCCACTTCTCGTTGCAGCTGCAGTTTTCAACTGGTTATTTCGTACGTCAGTTCCACAACATGACAGTCCCAGTCCTTAGGCTTTGGCTATGAAATCGCTTATTTCAATGAGGCAACGCTGGTTATTAAGGCATGTTTCCGTTTCTCATTCAAAGCTTTATTTTAACATTTTTTAAAAAAAACCAAAAAGGGAGCATGGCTATCTTGTATCTTCTGGCTCTGTCTTTATCACCTTCCTTTCAAGGCTGTTGAAAGCAGAGTGAGGAAAATCTTTTAAGATACCAAGGCCTTCTGCAACAACAAAATGGATTCCTTTTAGAAAAATACCGACCCGAAACAACAGTGTTCTTTTCGACCAGTTGTAGTCAATAGATAGCTTATAAAATCTTACACAAATTTACCCTTGTAGTACCAAACAGCAATAAATTCAGTTTATCCACTAGGCGATATATGCTTTCCATCATAATGTACCGCCAGCGGTTTACGACAATGTAAAAACATAAAACCAAACAATAAGATTATAAAAAGTTATAAGCAAAAAACGAAATTATAAACAATACTGATGTGGCATGCAGTTCTAGCACCCCATGTGGTGGGCCTTGCAGATATTTCTGCTGTGATATAAACCCTGAGGCATGCTGGAGAAATGGAGACATAACATTTGAATGAGGCCCGAAATATCACTAAGCACTTAAAAAGCTATACAAGATGCCTGAGACTCATTTTCCCTCTCCTGAGTGAAAGAGCTGCACAAATTTCACACGATAGAGTTGGCCCCAAGACATTTTGGCACCTGAGGTAAACCATAAAATGGTGTCCCCTCACCAGCAGGAAAGAAGGGATGACGGAAGATCTACATCTGGAAGATCTCCATTGGGATCTTCTGCCCCTGTGAAACCTGCTGCCTGAGGCGGTCACCTCACCTCGCCTCATGGGTGGGCCGGCCCTGGTCATGGTTGCTATGAGCAGGAAAGATTTTTACCTGAAGGCTGTGACTTTGCTTCAGCACTGGCGTACAATCTGCTCAAGTCACTGCAGAGAGGCTTCACGACGTGAGGCTCATCGTCTAATGAAATGTGAGGCATATGCCTATTTGGTAGGCTCGACATGCGTAGATTTAAAGGCCTTTCCCCTAAAATATATTGTCAAAGAGATATCCATTCAATACTATAACCGAGAGGTGGTCCACCCACAGTGCTGTTAATCGTAGCCCCCCAACAGCCCACGTCACCATGATATGATCATAACTTAATATCAATCTCCATTTTATTCACTTGTATATGCTTTTGTGTGTGTTTTAATGCTGCGTTTTCCTGATTTTAGCATGTACAGTGGAACCTCCGTTTCCGTGCCCCTCAGAAGCCAAACGATTTGGAACCCAAACGCCAAAAACCCAGAAGTGAATGCTTCCGTTTTCGAACGCTCCTCAGAAGTCAAACGGCTTCCAAGGCGAGTTTCTCCATTTTCTCCATTGACTTTGCTGACCGCCCATTGCGCCTTGGTTGTCGAACATTTCTGAAGTTGAACAGTCTTCCCAACGGATTACATTCGACAACCGAGGTTCCACTGTATTTGTTTTCAATTTAATGATCTATTGCTGTCTTTCAGACTCTACACCACTTACAAGATTTCCGAAATATTTGCACTCAGGTGCCTCAAGGTGACTTACATCGTAAAAACAAAACATTGTAAAAGGTAGAAAGGTAAAGGACCCCTGGACAGTTAGGTCCAAAGGCGACTATGGAGTGTGGCGCTCATCTCGCTTCAGGCCAAGGGAGCCGGCGTTTGTACACAGACAGCTTTCTGGATCATGTAGCCGGCATAACTAAACTGCTATTGGCACATGGAGGACTGTGATGAGTGCCAGAGCACATGGAAACGCCCTTTACCTTCCCGCCACAGCGGTACCTATTTATCTATTTGCACTGGTGTGCTTTTGAACTGCTAGGTTGGCAGGAGCTGGGACAGGGCAACTGTAAATAAATAAATGTAAGTCCAATCCATTCCAATTAACTTTATTGTACTAGCCACTAGCCATGACAAATCTGAATCAAAAATAAATATAAGCAAAAGGCTTGTTGTGCCAGAAATTATGGCCTCTTTTTAGATCTCCACGTCTCCCTTACAGTTCACTGTCCAGGGTCTTCTTTTGGGGAAATGCAAGTCAATAAACAATATCTCAGAGCTGTGGTAGCCCCTGCTCCTCTCGCAATCTTAAGGGCAACTTAAAAGTCTTCCACCCATGTGGCCTGACTGCTTCCATATGGCGTATGGCATGGAAACATGAAGCTCTTTTCATAGCAGCCATTGTAGGTATGGTCTGGAACTAGCAAAATGCTTGTGAGATCATGTGGATGACCCAAGCCAGGTGGGAACAACCGCAGGAGAGGCAACCACGAAGGAATCTAGGTCTCAGAGGGTTTATTTCTCCTAACACAGTATGTACACAGACTACATTTCTGCCCCCACAATATTCTCCCAAGAAATCATTAACCACAGGAAATTTCATTTCGTCATAATTTAGCAATCATCGCTGTTGCACCAGTGTCACGAACGCTGACAATTCTAAAACAGATGTGTGATGGCAAATACATGCCTGGAAGCTACTGTACCTTGCCCAACACCATAATCCGATGTCAAGCCATTGGCACAATGCTCTTCTGAATTTTGTCTGTAGAGGCCTGTGGAAAGGCGTCTCTCCAAGCCAGCTTGGCTGCAGAGAAACTCCATCTGCTTGGCCATCATCTTCTCCGGCTGCAATTGAGACAAAGGCAGATTTAGGGACTTGCCACAATTACTGTTAAGTTGTGGGTGAACATATCAGACGATACAGTGATTCTTCAAACAGCTCTTGTTTATTCACAGGCCAGGACAGAACTGAACTGAAGGGTTCAGCCAGCCTGCTTATATAGAGCTCCAGTACAACGTAACTGTAACAACTTTCTGTAACTATCCAATCACTGAACGTCACTTTCGATCCCTCATTTGCATATGTGGACCTGAACTATCTACAGTATCCCCCTGCTGGCCCAGGGTGAGAACTTCAGTACATAACAATTACAATTACTAAGTACACTCGTTTTACACCAACCAGATGCCAAGTGAAGTACTGTACACCGAAATGGCACAGTCTTAGCCAGGAATCCTACGAAGGATGAATTATGGAGGGAGGAGACTGAATTATCTACGAAAGGCTGAATCATGGAAGGAGGAGACGGACAACCAGCAGTGGAGCTGGTGATCTCCAAGCAAAAGGAAATCAGGGAGCCAGCAAAAGGTAAGGATGACAGAATCTGAGAGTCATTGCCTGGTTATTAATCCCTCTCAATGCTGACTGATAAAACACTCCAAAAAAGCAATCATAATGCAATAGTCAGGATTATTTTCTTTTGGTGTTGTACCAGCACTTGGGAACACAGGTAAAACACAAGAAGAATCTCAGTATGCCTGTACATTTGGTCACATCATGGTTGTTGTTTTTGCAGACTGGAGAGAAAATAACAATTAGCTGAAATCTACAGCACGCTGCTTCAATTCAAAATTTGATTGGGGGAAATTCTCAAAGTTAATCAGAATTCTCTACTCTGTTCCGAATTTCTCCCTCCCATCCTACTGGGGTACCAAAATCAAACAAAAAACGGAAAGGAAAACAAATCTACAGCTATTTTCAACCCACTTAAACATTTTGGCATCTTTATGACCCTTCAGAATGAGCCCCTGCCCATTTTGGGTGCCTATTTGTAATCAATCAATCAATTAATATTTCAACAGCAACTTTTTTTCCTTCTTTGAAAAATTGCAAATACAATTATGGCAAGATTTCCCTTAAGCTTTATTTTTGGAAATAGCACTATCCATTATTTTTTTAATGCCAGCAATCTGCCATTCTGAAAAGTGTAGCATGGCAGTATGATTGTGGGGGGAAACAGTGTGAAAGTTTCGCTTGGAAAAAGACCAGGGCCTTATACACCACAGGAGAAAGATAATCAACAACCTGCTAAAAGAGAGTGCAAACTTATCAATGCCAAGAGAATTATAAACTCTGAATGTGATCTATTTCCATTACTGTGATGTAGATCATTTGGAAAAAGGCAGAATTGTAATTCTGAAAATGTGTAGGTTAAATGTTCCATAGTACAGGATTTAGATGAGTCCTTAATCAAAGTCAAAGCAAGCTTTCAGATTTTGCTTTTCCCGTAGAAGTCATCACGTTTCCACAGGTGGTGGAAGTGCTTTAGCACTTTTGCTGCATGACCATCTCATCTTCTATCACCAAAAGTTCCCCTTTCCAAGGGGTTAGTTACCCTCCTACCCATGCCTATAGCAAAACTGTTTCTCTCTTGGTAGCTGGTATTTTTTATTTATCTCTCCCTTCAGATCCACATCTCCAGTGCATACACCAATCTGGTTTCATCTGCAGCCACAGGTGCAATGGTCTTTGCGCAAGCTCTCTGTGTATTTCCACACATCAGGCTTCAGATCCAGTAACAGCTGTCTCATTGCACTCCCCAAGCTTTCTGAGGTCAGGTGGACTGAGTTTTCCTTCTCACCTGTGAATACAATACAGTGGTACCTTGGTTCCTGAACAAATCAGCTCCCAGACACCGCAAACCCGGAAGTGAGTCTTCCGCTTTGTGAACGTTTTTGGGAAGCCAAATGTCCGACACAGCTTCCAATTGAGTGCAGGAAGCTCCTGTGGCCAACTGGAAGCCGTGCCTTGGTTTTCGAACCGTTTTGGGAGTCGAACGGAAACCTGGAACAGATTAAGTTCGAGAACCAAGGTTCCACTGTACTAGCTTCCTGACATTCTCTAGGCCTCTCCTTCAAGAAGTATGAATAGAAACTGGCATGCGGGTTTCTTGCATTCCTCCTTGATGAGGAAAACTCTTCCTTGGGACTTTTCTAGCTGATGTAATTATGGTCTTCAGCAGGTACAGGAAGCAGCTACAAGGAGATGAGCTCAGCAGCCTCCAGGTGAAGAAGCTACACCAGTAAAAATTGAAGCTCTCAGCACTGAAAGCACAGCATTCGATTGGTGAGTGCGTCAGTGCTTTCAAGGATGAAGCCATTGCACAACCAGATAGAACTGTGATGGTAGAAGAAACTCAGATGAGGACAGAGAGCTCACAAACCCAAGGCAAGAAATGCCATCAGTATGAATCTGATAGGAGACACATTGGTGCTGTCTGTAATGAAGTGGCTGACTCACTTGATAACTTCTTAAATAAATGTTTTGATGCCAATCTGTTGCTTGCCGTGAAGCCGCTTGCCACCTATTGGAAACCAGGTATAAGTTCACATGGTGCTAGGTGCAGGATTTTTGATCTAGCACAACTTTCCCTTGTACAACGTCAGCGATGTTCACAAGGAGACACTGTCCTGTTTGGTTCGTTTTCTTGCGTTATCCGATGCACAGACTCACAGCACATCTTCTGGCAGCCGAGCCTCATAACACTGATGCTGAACATCTCAAGTGTGACCTTGGAAGTCCATCAACAGAAACAGACTCACCGCTGATTCAGAAAACGAATGCCTCATATAACTACCATATAACTATGTTGCCATACTGTACCTACGGCACCGCCTCTCCTGGTGTGTCCCACAGAGGAACTTACGGTCTTCAAGCAAAAACATCTTGAAGGCCACAGAGAGTTTAGGCTGGACTCAACTAGAGCCAGGGCTTTTTCGGCTGTGGCTCCGATCTGGTGGAACGCTCTGTCACAAGAGACTAGGGCCCTGCAGGACTTGACATCTTTCCGCAGGGCCTGCAAGACAGAGCTGTTCCACCAGGCCTTTGGCTAGGGCACAGCCTGACTCCCTCCACTGGCAATCTTCACAGAACTCTAGCCCAATGGTTGCCATCAATTTGATCTGAATTAATTTTATAATGAAATGATTTTTGAATGTTGTATTATTTTATTGTTGTTAGCCGCCCTGAGGCCAGCTTCAGCTGGGGAGGGTGGGATATAAATAAAATTTATTATTATTATTATTATTCCTCGGAGGGGATCCGAGGACATCAGTGCTCCTAAGGATTTTAAAAATGTAAGTGCAGAACCCGCGGCATGGCTAAACCAAGAGAGCAGGTGTGGTTTCAGGGATTATTTTTTTCAGAGGCCTGAAAGTGAAACTGCTCGTGGTGCCCAGTCCCAGATGGTGAGAATCTAACCAGCTCCAAAATAAAATGAAATTGAACATGCTCAGCCTGGTGTGGAAGGAGGCAGCATGGCACAACAGAGTAATCTTCTGTTCTGTATTTGTTGTGTACTGGTCGGTAATGACTGTATACCTACATATACCATTTAAGTATAGTTCAATTTGAATCAATAAATGCCTTGGACTGGCCAAGTAATTGGTCCTTATAATATACTGTATTGACCGGGGGGGGGGGTTGAGCAGTAATTTGGGGGAACTAAGTTCCCTTACCTTTTTAAAATTAAATACTATTTTTTGTCTGGGAGGTTGAAAGAGATATACACCCAATGCCTGGGCAAAAAATCCACCTATATCTGTAATCAATGAAGTCGTGGGCATTTTTAAATCCAGATCATTGTTTGCTTGGGTTTATTAATGACATCTTACATTTAGCCACTGCCCGGGGCATGTGCTGGGCCCGCAACAGACAAACAAACAAACTTTGTGGTGAGTTCCCCCACCTTTTTTCCAGAAAAAAGCACTGTGTATTGATACAAGGTTATGAAGATTTGAAAGGAGCCAGTATTTATCTTCATTTCCTATTTATTTTTATCTTTTCTCAGCTGTTCCTTTTTTAAGGGACTGCTTAGTTCCTTTTTAAATCCCACACAAAAATGTATCTCACACTGCACAATCGCAGCAGGCAGCATTTGACACTGGCAGGGCTTCTGGCGAGGGCTAGTTAGTCAGGTGTAGAGGCTGAAGTGGAGGAGATCTCAGAGAAGCATAATTGTAGAGGATATCACCATGTTCAGCAGCGCGGAGAGTTCCCTCTAGCAAGGCAGCAGCACTCTGGGAGGGATTATCCCCTCTGCTATCTGCGCTGCTCATCTTGCAATGGCCCAGAGAGCTGCTGGGTCTCCACTGAAGTATCAGCACAACACACTTTCGAGGCTGCACAAGATCTGTGCTATGTCACCTGCCTACACTTCACGAAGCAGGTGAGCAGGTGATAAGTTCTAGCACACCAGCCTTAGAAGAGGCAGAGTCTGAGCAGTCAGGAAGGAAGGACAATAGGGGTGAAGAACGAGAGCTCTCAGTCTCAAGTTTCCTCCATAAAGTTGAAGGCAGCACAGCTTAAACAGGTGATTATGGGGGATCTGGTGCGGTTATCTGCCCAGATGCCAAACTCTGTACTGACAAAGAGGCAGAAAACACTGAAAGATGCCCCTTGCTCCGGTCAGTTAAAATCTTCATCCCCTTACTATGAATGAAGATAAAGCTGTAGCCATTATGAGTGTGTGTTTGTTTGAGCATGCCGTTTTCAAAAAAAAACACCAGTCGTGAGTCATACCACCTACACTAGAAGTGAAACGACCGCAGCCAGGTCAGAAGGACCCCTTGATCTGCAGAACGGGGACAGAGTGTCCTGTAAGGAAAGAACTGTGATTGTTCTGTAAGAAGCATTAATACGAGGAAGCCTTTTATTGCAGCCCCTAGGTTGTTTACCTGTGAGCCAAGCGCTGCCAGGTCTTCACACTTTCCTTTTGACAATGCCTGTTGTATTTTGACTGAATCCTGCTGGTAAAAACTCTGGACTGCGTCGTGGAAGTCAGGGAAGCCATCCTGCAAACATGAAAAAGCAGGGAAAGGAGCTGTTACTATTTCAGAATGTTTCGATTCACAAGATATTTTTCCAGTCTTAAATCATCACTACAGCCAATGGTGTGCGTGTAGAGCGAGAGAATAGTTCTTTCGCAGTTATTTTAAGGGCAAAAATAAACGTTTCAAGGTTTTGAAGCTGAGCAAGTGCAGAACAAAAGTAGGTTCTTTTAAAGGCACAAAGAAATGCTTCGAGTGCAAGTTGTTCTACCTAAATGAAAGCTTGTGGCACAATAAATGTGCTGGCTTTTAAGGTAGCAAAAGACTCCTTGAAGTTTTATTTAGGAATTTCAATCAGGAATATCAAAAGGTCTGCTTTGTGCAAGTTATGACATTAGGATGGAAGGGAAATAAATAACCTTATCAGCAAGCAGTTTCCAAACGAAGCCACGGTGCTTTCATTCTGTTGTGAAAGCACGAAAACGTACAGCAAAAAGGAAGCCCATGTTGCATAACGTCACATTACAACTCCTTTTTCTGAATGACAAACCAGCACCGCTGGTGAGCCATTGCTAAACCCCCACCCCCCGCCAAAAGGCTTGGAACTGTAACGGGAAGCAAAGTGGACCAAAAAGCTGCAAAGTTTGCTCCCTAGAAATTCCTGATTGCCATAAACTCGCATTTAAGAAGACGTGCTTTAAATATGCTTGGTGCTCATCAGCCTACAAGGGCAGCTTTCGCAAAACAGGCACCTGCGACAAGCCTCATTTGGGTGCTCAAGCAACAGGTGGGGATGGGATGGTGGATGCCCCGCCCCACCCCAAAATCATGGGTGCTGCCCAAACTTCTATTGCTGAAAGAACTGATGTGGTTAGAAGCTCTCTTCAGATTTCCCCGCTCAATGGGGGAAGGCTTCGCTGGGAGCAGGGCTTGCACTAGTGACTCTACCGCAACCTTTACATGAATTTGCTATGAACTCCTGAAGAGCGCTGCGATCTTGCTCACAGCACTGTGAACGCAGTTGTCCTAAGTGGCAAGGCAAAGCTCCTCTGACTTTCCATCCCCATCATGGCTGCAGCGGCAGAGAGAGGAGAAGAGGAAGGTGGCTGCGACCAGCAGTATTTAAACCTTTAACCCAGAGCTTTTCAACCTTTTAAAGTCCACGGCTCCCTTGACCAACTGCATTCTTTCTGCAGCACCCCTGTGGGGCTCAGGAGCCCAGTTACGTCACCCCCTTGCCTGCAGAGTTGGCAGCCTCTCACCCTTTTTCGAAGGCACGCGGGTGGCGCTGTGGTCTAAACCACAGAGCCTAGGGCTTGCTGATCAGAAGGTCGGAGGTTCGAATCCCCGCGACGGGGTGAGCTCCCGTTGCTCGGTCCCTGCTCCTGCCAACCTAGCAGTTCGAAAGCACGTCAAAGTACAAGTAGATAAATAGGTACCGCTCCAGCGGGAAGGTAAACAGCGTTTCCGTGCGCTGCTCTGGTTCGCCAGAAGCGGCTTAGTCATGCTGGCCACATGACCCAGAAGCTGGCCGACATGACCCGAGCTCCCTCGGCCTATAGAGCGAGATGAGCGCGCAACCCCAGAGTTGTCTACGACTGCACCTAACGGTCAGGGGTACCTTTACACCCTTTTTCGAATACCCACCCTTGTCGAGGGTTCCCTCAGCCTCCTCTCCTTGGGAGTCCTCTGGGCAACCGCTGCTGCCGCCCCTGGTTTCTGAGCTGCTCCCCAATGCCCCAAAGAGAGGTGCCTCCTCACACTGCCCCACAGGGGCCTGGGAAGCACCCCCTGGACAGCCCCAGAGGCACCATTCGCCTGGAGAGCTTGTAGCCAGGGCTGCTGCAACAAACAACCATGCAAGCCTTTGGGAGGCAGAGACGCAAGAGGGCATCAGAGGAAGGAGGAAAAGAAAGAGGGACAGAGGCCAGTGTTGCCCACGGCACCCCTGACCACCATTCAAGGCACCATTCAAACCACTGTTTCAACCACATATTTCACTGATAATTTTTAAAATTAATATTAAATAATATTTCTTATAAGTATGATATGAAGATGATACGAAGATGAATTCAGAGAGAAGATGGATAGAAAATATCTGTGTGAGAGACAGAGTGGTTTTTGTCAGGCGTGAGGCTGAGAAAGATGGGAGCAGGGAAGACATGGATCTCATGTTTGTGAACTGAAGATAGGTTGATAGAATATACAATTTTGTGTTTGTTTGGGTGTGGTTTCTCACTCTCCCTTTTCCTTTTTATTATTTTGATCTTTGAAGGTATTAGCTTTGCTTGCTGTTGTTTTTAATGTTGTACAGTCATGCCTTGGAAGTCGAACGGAATCCGTTCCGGAAGTCTGTTCGACTTCCAAAATGTTCAGAAACCGAAGCGCGGCTTCCGATTGGCTGCAGGAAGCTCCTGCAGCCAATCAGAAGCCCCGCTGGACATTCAGTTTCCAAAGAACGTTCGTAAACTGGCTCACTTCTGGGTTTCGATTGTTTGGGAGCCAACCTGTTCGGGAGCCAAGGCGTTTGAGATCCAAGGCATGACTGTATTATATGTTGAAAACCTTTAATACAATTGATTTTTTAAAAAAATATTTAAAAATCTATGAAAAGGAACCCTAACGGAAGAAGCAGGGGGTGAAGAGTATCTTGATAGCCAAATGTTCCTTTCTCCCCATTGCTCTCTCTGGCCTGCTCTATCAAACACACCCAGCATGCTCCCTTCCAACTTGGCTGTTCTTAAAGCGATTTCTTTGAGCAGATGTTCCCAAGCCCCACAGGCGCTTTCTTCCCCTCCGCCAAACACTTCTCCTACACGAACACCAGATTGCACCGCTTCTGTTCTTTGTGATCTTCGGGGAGAGAAAGAAATCCCACACTCTCTAGCTTTTCAGCCCTGCTTGGCAGCGGCGTGGGCATACCCTCGTTCTTTTCCCCTCGTTCTTTCTCTCCCACCTTATAACTCATGCTGACATGAACGCCGAACCTCTCCCCCCCTCCCTCCAGCCCTCCCAGCTACCCACCCACCCCTTCCATTTCCCTCTAGGTCTCTTACTCCCACTGAATCTTCGCCCTCTCATCCATCTTCCCGCCACCTCCTCTTACGGATATGCTGTTCGGCGGCAGGATGCCTTTGTACTGCTTAGTCCATAGGACTGTAATGACTCTGTTGTCTGTCTCACATGCCCTGCCAACTCTCAATCCTGTATTTTTTTTGGTGGGGGGGACACCCCTAGCCACACACCCTTTTCTGCACAAAATAACAGCGCTGAAGGGAGAAGAGCTTTCCTTCAACCGCCAGTGATTTTGCTGTGCTTCCTCTGGGGAAAAGACACAAAGCCTTGTGTGCTGTTGGTGTCATGGACTTGGGGGGGGGGGAGAGGGCACCCACATCAAGTCCACACTTACACACACCCACACACCCGCGGATCAAGGCAGCTGCTGAAGAGGGAGGGTGGGAACTTCATGTAACTAAAATATTGCTTTTGTTTCGTCGCACGTGAGAAGGCATTCAGGGATCTCGCCGCAACTCATTAATAGCTACTCCCAAATCCGAACCTAATTGCTGCATTCCTTCTCCCGCCCACTCGGCTCCCAGCGCTTGTCATTTTCCCGGGATTCCGCCCCCGCCTCTCCCTGCAAACTTACCCACCCACTCCTTCGAGAAAAGGGAGAGGTCACATGAGGGAAGGGGGGGGAGGCTTTCACAGGTAATCGGGTGTAATTTGTGATATGCTTTGCCTGCACACACACACACCCTCCACCCTCTTTCTTTTGTGTTGCTTATGCAAAACTCCTTCACCCTGCAGAGGTGATGTTTGCAACGCCGTCCGTAGGTTTGCTTGCCCACGCAGTCCTGCTCTCAGGCGCCTCCATCTCCGAGAGGGAGGGAGGAAAACCCTCCTCTTTATTATACTAGGGAAAACCATTTCACATCACGCCCGTGCAATCATTTGTGTGTGCGTGCAATCATTTCCACCTGGGGAAAAGAGGCGTTAAACGCCTCCCGAGATCAAAATGGCAGTGTTTTACAGGCACTAACTTCGGTGGAAAGGCTGAAGGGGACTCATCAGTACAGTCATACCTTGGAAGTCAAATGGAATCCGTTCTGGAAATTTGGAAACCAAAGCGCAGCTTCCGATTGGCTGCAGGAAGACCCTGCTGCCAATCGGAAGCAGCGGAAGGCCCCGTCGGACGTTTGGCTTCCAAAAGTAGTTCGCAAACCGGAACAGTCACTTCTGGGTTTGTGGCTTTGGGAGCCGAAACGTTCGAGAACTAGGCTGTTCGAAAACCAAGGTATGGCTGTAGTGACAATCTGCACTCCTGCGTTTCAGTCCTTGTCTAAGCCGGAGAACTGAGGTGGCAAGAGAAAAAAATAGTTTGGCGTATGTATTCAAGGGTTAAGGAGCCATCTATAAAAGTTTCTGGCTCATGCTTCAGCAAGCTGTATAGCACTTCCAGAACTTAAGCTTTTTTTTAAAAGGGGGGGGGACCACCTGCTGCTGTATGGGAGGTGTTTGCAAGAAGAATACCAGACAGGCTGAAATCTTGAAAAGTTACTATGCCTCAATGAGGAAAACCATATTTCCCCTTGTCTTTAGCAAACAAACGGCACAATATCACTATCTGTAAACAAACACTGGACATCCATAAAAATGGCAAAAGTAATTTCTTTCCTAAATAGGATTTTTCTTAAACAATATCAAGAGCAGTAAGTAAAGAGTTCGCTTGTAATATGTCTGTGGTTCAGTGCTCATTTCTTCTCTTTCCAAAACAGATATTATCTCGAACAATTGCAAATGCAGTAATAAAGAGTCCACTTATGATATAAATCAGTGGTACAGTGCTTGGACGTCGTTCCGGTAATCTGATGTTTCGTTGCTAAAGAGCTTAGTCATTGAGCTTTGTAGTAAATAATATACAAGAGAAGACGGTATGTAAATGACTTAAAGCAGGGTATATCTGTCCCCATCTGCATGTTTCCATCGGGAGGAACACAGAAAGAGGACGATGTCCTTCTGTTTATTAAACCTCCTCCTCCTGTGTTGATTGCAGTAGTCATTGCATCACTGCCCTGTTTATTGTTTTACTGTTTAATAAACAAACAGCAAGAATTCTCTGTTTCAAGCATTACCAGGGGTAAGGGTTATTTGCTTGCTTGCTCCATAGGGACAGGTATTGGCAGATTGAGTGGGCGAGATCAATAGTTGGTCCAATGGTCAAGAAGGCAGTTTCTGCACGTGCCATAGAGGGAAGTGAAGGGCAAATGAGGCTCATCAACCTGGGAAGGTAGCCCACCTAGTAAAGGTAAAGGGACGCCTGACCATTAGGTCCAGTCGTGGCCGACTCTGGGGTTGCGGCGCTCATCTCGCTTTACTGGCTGAGGGAGCCAGCGTACAGCTTCCGGGTCACGTGGCCAGCATGACTAAGCCGCTTCTGGCGAACCAGAGCAGCGCACGGAAACGCCGTTTACCTTCCCACTGGAGCGGTACCTATTTATCTACTTGCACTTCGACGTGCTTTTGAACTGCTAGGTTGGCAGGAGCAGGGGCTGAGCAACAGGAGCTCACCCCGTTGCGGGGATTCGAACCGCCGACCTTCTGATCAGCAAGTCCTAGGCTCTGTGGTTTTACCCACAGCGCCACCTGCGTCCCTAGCCCATCTAGGAGAAGGAAAAAACTCTGGACCTAAACTTCTGCTACCTTGCAGGAGATCTTCAGGAGAAGAAAAGGCTAAGGAATAAAGCCTACACAAATCCAGAGCCCCTAAGACGGTTGGATGGTGCCCTGTACGCCTCCTGCCAGCCACTCCTGCAGCCAAGCTGGTGCCAAACATATTGCTCTGCTTTCCTTTGAAGCTTCCTGCAGCCAATCGGAAGCCATGCCTTGGTGTCTGAACGTTTTGGAAGTCGAACGGACTCCCGGAACGGATTCCGTTCGACTTCCAACGTACGACTGTACAATCAAGCCACAGGAAATAATGGGCTTGAGTTACTCCTAGCCATCCATTTCAATGGGTCTACTCTGAGTATGACTAACACCAGGTACAATCCATGTATATATGAAACATGTAGATGTTTGGCATTTTGCAACCTAACTCTTTTACTAGGATGTAGTTTTGAGACAGGCCTATGCGTACAGGAACGGATCGCAGCAATTACCTTCCTTTTCCTGCTGCACAAAAAGTAACAAGACTTTCAAAGTCACCTTGCAAAATTCTCACTGGCTTTTATAGGAACATGTAAGTCGCTAATTATTCCCTCGCCCTGTCTCTTCACTTTTAGTCCACCCCAAAACAAGCAGTTACAGAATAAAAATGTGCCCTCGACATTTTCCCAGGGTAGTTTAAACACACACACACACACACACACACACACAAAATAGAATTGTACAAAGGAATTTTTGCATTCAAAGGGACCATTTCCTGAAAAGTTCCTTTGCAGGGAAATAGGTGAAGGTAAAGGTAAAGGGACCCCTGACCATTAGGTCCAGTCGTGGCCGACTCTGGGGTTGCAGCGCTCATCTCGCTTTATTGGCTGAGGGAGCCAGCGTACAGCTTCCGGGTCATGTGGCCAGCATGACTAAGCTGCTTCTGGCGAACCAGAGCAGCGCACAGAAACAACGTTTGCCTTCCCGTTGGAGTGGTACCTATTTATCTACTTGTATGTGCTTTCTAACTGCTAGGTTGGTAGGAGCAGGGGCCGAGCGACGGGAGCTCACCCCGTGGCGGGGATTCAAACTGCCATCCTTCTGATCGGCAAGTCCTAGGCTCTGTGGTTTAACCCACAGCGCCACCCCTTTACAGGGAAATATATGCATCCAAATAACCACTGGCCTGCTGCATCACATATCCCTCAACACAGAAGGGAAATTATGGTAAAATTGACAGCCTATTTACTTAGTCTGCAAGCTACATTATTTAAAACTGGATCTATTTTTTTAAAAATACCAAATGAAAAAATACTGAATATATTTCCATGTTTTTGCTAGGTTTAGTCATTACCTCCATAAGGCAGAGTGTGTGTTTACATGTGTTTATTTTTTCTGACTATCAGGAAATTGTTCCCTAATGGCAACAAGATCCATTAGACAGGGCAAGAACCTTCCAGAGCTACTGGCAGGCGTTTCTCTCCGTGTTATTTCCTTCCATTAGGAAGATCCGAACAATGAAACACAGTTTATGGAGGTATCTGAAAACAGCCAAAAATAAAATAAAAATTCCACCTACTTAACAAAATTATTTCTGTTTAGGTCAAACGATGCTCTAGCACACAAAAAGACCCAGAACGTTTAACTGAGCAAGACGTGCAGAAAATTGTTGCCAGTACTCCTCAAATGGAGGTACAGAGGATCAGGATTTCCCTGAAGAAAACCATGATGGAATAAAGGGCAACATCCAATGTCAGTCACACGTAAGTGAGGCTTAATTTATTTCAATAGGTTTACTATGAGCATAACGGGAACGGGTCTTCTCTGTGGTGGCTCCTCGTCTGTTGAATGCTCTCCCCAGAGAGGCTCACCTGGCGCCATCATTATATGTCTTTAAGCACTAGGCAAAACATTCCTCTTTACTGAGGCCTTCAGCCATTAAATAATCTATGGTCTGTTAAAGAGAGGGGACTGTTATTATGATTATTTTTATTATTATGCTGTATACTACGCAAACTATATACTATACAAGAATACAGTCATACCTTGGGTTAAAGACGCTTCGGGTTAAATCTTTTGAGGTTGCGTCCCACAGCAACCCAGAAGTACCAGAATGGGCTACTTCTGGGTTTCGCCGCTCAGGCATGCGCATAGCTGTCAACTTTCAGATTTGAAAATAAGGGATCAGCAGCCTCACCTGTCCCAGGGACAGTCTACGGGATATCTAACAATCCAGGATATCAGCGGGAAATGGCGTTGGAGTAAGGAAATTTCCAGCCAAAAAGGGAAGGTTGACAGCTATGCGCATGCGCTCAAAATGACGTCACACGCATGCGCAGAAGCGGCAAATCGCGACCCACGCAGACACGGGTTGCATTCTGCTCAGGTTGCGAACAGGGCTCTGGAACGGATCCCGTTCGCAACCAGAGGTACCACTGTACTGTACACTTGAGTGTTCCGGTTTGCGAACGTTCTTTGGCACCCACACCTCTGACACAGCTTCCGAACGTTTGGGAAGTGTGAACGAACTTCCGGAATGGATTCTGTTCAACTTACGAGGTACCACTGTACTACTATGCTTTTTAATTATGTTTTTATTATTACGCTCCATAAAATACATTTTTAATGTTGTACACCACTCTTGAGATCTTTAATAAAGGGCAGTATAGAAATCAATTTTTAATAACAACAACAACCTAGCCTGATACATGCAGTGTTTACCTAGCATAGCACTGAGGCTGCATTCAGCAATCCCCATTTAACACAACGGAATAAGCAAACATGCACAAGATTGTGCTTCAATTAACTGATCTACAGCTGAAGCTAGACAGGAGCCTTATGATGAGGATGTAACATCAGTGAAATTCCACTCCTAAAAATATTCTCCAGTAAAATGAGCCCGATATTTATAAAGTGAAATATCTAAATTCAGATCGGTGTTTTCTCCCCCTGGTATTCTGCTGAAATAATACATGCTGATCTTCTCAATGAAAAATTTTTTTAGAGACATCCTGGTTTCGTAAGCTTTTTGGGGAGAAGCTCCCCCCCATCCTCATGGGCTGGTTTTTTCCTTTTACTTATTTCAGAGAATAACATGTGTAACTGTGCAAAAGGCCAGCTGTGTGTGCGTTACTGCTACTATAACTAAATGTAAAAGAAAATCTATATATGCAGGGATTTCTTGAGCCTGTTCCACTGTAGAAATGCTGTGAAAAGAGTGAACACCAATTTCAAACTGCCCATTAAAAGCAATAAATAAATAAAACTGGGGCAGTGCAGGGGGAGATGGAACATATATCTATTTTATCCTGATTATTGGCCAACTTTTCCTCTCCAAACTCACAACTTCACAAGCTCCACTATATTGTTTTAACTGCCCTCATATTTTAAGTGACTACTACAGAACCTTTGATAAACCGGATCATATTTATTCAGAATGCATTGTATTTTAAGGGATTTGTTTTTCAGATGGGAGAGTGAGGCAGAACATAGCCATTCACCAAATGAAGCCTTAATGGTTCTTTCCTCTCTCACGCAAGTCGGTTTTAGCAATTACAACTAAACAGAAGAAGTTAAAATACAGTACCTCTATTTTAATTCTCTTTGGTGACAGTTCATCCCTTTCTCCACATTTAGACCTAGGAGATGAAAACACATTTTGTTTGGTTTTTACTAGGTAGCGCACACTTATCTTCAGAAAAAGAAACACCTTGGAAAAATCCTTGCCTGCAACAGAGAGATAGAAAACTGAAATTTCTCATTTAAGCCTCAATTTCCAGATAGGTTCACAAAGCATGTCCTGTAGTTTAAGAACCTGACGTAAGGTTCAATCTTGCTGGACTACTATTAGAGATTATGGGCGGTGGAGAAGGATTTGAATGTTTATATGCTCCTTTGTATAAAAAACTCCCTGTACAAAGGAAGCTAGCGTGTCAGGGTTGGGGGCGGATTTTTAACTTCAACCCTGTTGAAGCCACCTGATCTACGAAAAGTACAATTTTCTGCAACAACTAGGAAAAATGTGGTGTGGAAATGCCAAGACTCAATGGCTCCCAATAGGTGGGGTGGGGTGTGCACAATTCAGGGTCAGCAAACTTTTTCAGCAGGGGGCTGGTCCACTGTCCCTCAGACATGGTGGGGGGCCGGACTATATTTTTTTTTTTGGGGGGGGGGGATGAACGAATTCCTATGCCCCACAAATAACCCAGAGATGCATTTAAAATAAAAGCACACATTCTACTCATGTAAAAACACGCTGATTCCCGGACCGTCTGCAGGCCGGATTTAGAAGGCAATTGGGCCAGATCAGGACTATGAGTTAGGGAGGGAATGGGACTCTTTATTTCAGGGTCGTGGGGGTTGGACTAGATTACAGGGTCCCTTCCAACTTAAGATTTCTATGATTCTATGACCCTGACTGCAGAACAAGAAAAATAAAAACAGGTTTTCTGATACAATAAACCTCATTAAAGCAATTAGGATCTCCCCCTCCCCCCCCTTTTTTTTTAAAAAAGCAGCTTACTTGGTAGTCCGGTAAGTGTATTTGTAGGTAACTTCTCGGGATATTTGTCGCGCCAGTGCAAAGAGTTCGTCCCTCCGGGTCAGCAGTGCGTTATCCTTCACACACAATTGAGCAGCGGCTTCGTTAACTGTGAGCTGGAAAACAAAAGACAAGGCATGCTTCGTTGCCTTAGCTGTATCACTCTTTTGAGGAACATGAAACCCTACGTATCTCCCATTACTGTTGCAATGTACATAAACAACATTATAGAGTTTCACAGAGAAATCTGAAGGGCTTTCTTCAGATTTCTGGCATCACGCTCAACACAGTTGCCACAGTTTTATAAAGATACGCACACGCACACACCCCACAAAAGAAAAACAACCAAGTTTTTAAATGCTGCTAGGTACCTTTGATTCCCCCCCCCCCAAAAAAAATTTGAAGTTACCTAAATTCCCTCGGAAGTAAGTTGGTACTTTTAAAAAACAGTTATTAGATCAGGGACAAACTATTTTGTTTAAAACCAATGCATGCTTTTAAAATGAACTCAGGCAGAACTCAGGGATTCTGCTTTTATAATAATAATAATAATAATAATAATAATAATAATAATAATAATAATAATGGTACTGAGGTTGACTCAGGGGGCTGGCTGTGTAGCCAATCCCTTACTGCGCCCTGTGAGCACCCACTGGGATGAACTGCTATGACAAACTCCTACATTTTGGTGTGATCTAATGCGATCCCCCAGAGTGTCTGGAGATTTGGCTTCCTCTGCAGCAAAGCTTTAATAGGCTGCTAACTTTTATTTTATTTCTGAGCGAACCATCTCAAGTTAATAGTGTTTGCACAAAATGGCCAAGTGGCCTAAACCTGAGGTTTTCAACCTCGCTGAATCCACAGCTCCCTTAACCAACTACATTCGTTCTGCTGCACCCCTGTGGGGCTCAGGAGCCCAGTTACGTCACCCCTTGCCTGCAGAGCTGCCAGCCTCTCACCCCTTTTTTTGGACACCCTTGTGGAGGGTTCCCTCAGCCTCCTCTCGTTTGGGAGTCCTCTGGGCAGCAGCTGCTGCCATCTCTACGATAATCTTTATTGTCACTGTCCCATACAGAACAACGAAACTGAAAATCTACAGCAGACATTCAGAAACCAACAAGCCTGCTATCCCAGCTATCCCAGCCTGGTTAGCCCCCTAAAAACTCTGATACCCCATAATTAAATACAATATACGCCCATAGAGACTACCTTACACTGCATTTAAAACCAAAATCGCATTTGAATAGAAACTTTCTCAGGCGGCTAGTCCTAGTCTTTATAACCCTGTACCTTCTTCCAGAAGGCAGAAGCTGAAAGAGATCATTTACGGGGTGCGCACTATCCTGCACTATCTCTGCAGCTTTCTTATGGCACCTGGAAGCATAGATTTGATCCAAGGTAGGGACGCGGGTGGCGCTGTGGGTTAAACCACAGAGCCTAGGACTTGCTGATCAGAAGGTCGGCGGTTCGAATCCCCGCGACGAGGTGAGCTCCCGTTGCTCGGTCCCTGCTCCTGCCAACCTAGCAGTTCGAAAGCACCTCAAAGTGCAAGTAGATAAATAGGTACCGCTTCAGCGGGAAGGTAAACAGTGTTTCCATGCGCTGCTCTGGTTCACCAGAAGCGGCTTAGTCATGCTGGCCACATGACCCGGAAGCTGTACGCCGGCTCCCTTGGCCAATAAAGCAAGATGAGTGCCGCAACCCCAGAGTCGGCCACGACTGGACCTAATGGTCAGGGGTCCCTTTATCTTTATAATAATAATAATAATAATAATAATTTATTATTTGTACCCCGCCCATCTGGCTGGGTTTCCCCAGCCACTCTGGGCAGCTTCCAACAAAGATTAAAGATACACTAAAATGTCACATATTAAAAACTTCCCTGAATGTCTTCTGAATGTCAGGTAGATGTTTATCGCTTTGACATCTGATGGGAGGGTGTTCCACAGGGCGGGCGCCACTCTTTAGGGAGAGTGCAGCCAATTATTATTATTTTTTTATAATAATATTTATTAAAATTTCAAACAAAATTACAAAAATACAAAAAACAAACAAAAATAAAAACAAATCAGTATTTTCATATCTTATCTTTCGTTCACTTGTTTCCCGGACCTCCTCACACCTCTCTTTTTTGCATCCCAAATCAATTAATTAATTCAGCAAATCCTTTCCCTCTTTGTTCTTATCTTGATCCTTTTTCTTAGTATATTTTTACTTCAAATTCCCATCTATTAACAATCCATTTTTATTAACCCTTAATAACATTGCTGCTAAAACCACTTAACTTCATTCCAACATCATTCTAACATTCATTAATTTTGCAATATTTCTGTAAATAGTCTTTAAATTTCTTCCAATTATTCTCTCTGCAGTCTTTACAACCCTGGACAACATTGTTTTTCCCCTGACCATGCAGCTCCCAAACCACACACACTGGTCTCTGGTCTGCCCCACCCCTGCCCCAAAGACAGATGCCTCCCAGAGGCACCGTTCGCTTGCGGAGCTTATAGCCAGGGCTGCTGCAATAAACAGCTGTGCAAGCCTTTGGGAGGCAGAGACGCAAAAGAGCATCAGAGGAAGGAAGAAAAGAAAGAGGGACAGAGGCCAGTGTTGCCCATGGCACCCCTGACCATCATTCAAGGCACCCCAGGGTGCCACGGCACACTGGTTGAAAACCACTGGCCTAAACAGACTAATGGGAGCTCAGAATCATTAAGCAGGTGGAACGAACCTCTAAATAAGTTTCTGATGGGTTGCCCAGACCATTTATATCAGAGATGGAGCTACTGTTCCAAAAACCAATCCGTATCCATCAAGAGGCTGGTTTTTACTGGTCTGAGATTCCCATAGAAATGGGAGACTTCACCCTCAGCCTTCATCGTCTCCTCAGAAGACAGTGATGGATGGATGGATGGATGGATGGATGGATGATGATTATGATAAAAGGAGAAGGAAGAAGAGCAGCTTGAGTCTAAAGATGCCCAGTTATCATACTCCCTGTTCTGTTTATGAGAGGGCTGTTTGTGAGCTGGAATAGGAATGTTGCGTGAGAAAAACACTCCAAATTCAGATTAAGTTTCCATTTGCACAAGGTATTGTGCAAGATTTTGTACAGGCCGCTAGAGTTCATAAGCTATGGCCTATGTATTCCTTATTTGCCGTATTTTTCATTCTTTTAACACAACACCCATTGCACTGTGTGCATATAACTTTTGGATCCAAGCCAATATAAGCTGTATTATTAAAAATGGAGAAGTGAAAGTTGCCAGATGTACACTTTCTGTTATGACATTCCCAACTGGGGGAAATATATCTATATCTATATCTATATCTATATCTATATCTATATCTATATCTATATCTATATCTATATCTATATCTATATCTATATCTATCTATCTATCTATCTATCATCTATCTATCTATCTATCTATCTATCTATCTATCATCTATCTATCTATCTATCTATCATCTATCTATCTATCTATCTATATTCCCCAGTTGGGAATGTCATAACAGAAAGTGTACATCTGGCTATATATATGTGGCTATATATATCTCCTCCACCTTTCCCCATCTAACCACTTCTTTGTGAATGAAAAACAGAATATAATGTCACAGACTGGCTCCTGACATATTATCTGCATTCACTCGCTGGATTAAGACTGACACTATAGCTGCCAGTTCCAAGTCACAACATGGTCTACATTTGCCTGATGTTATGTAACCTCATGCGTGAGAGAGAACTGGGTGTCAACTAGGGTTGCCATCAAAATTTCACCTGAAGTAATTCAAAACAGATTTGGGGTTCCCTGGTTAGGCAAAACACCTGAGGAATTTTGAGGGAAGTCCAAAGGATCTCCATAAGGCCAGCAAAATTCCTCAAGGTTATTCAGGGCAACATCCCCTAGGCCTAGGTTATAACTGAACTTCCACAAATAGACAATTCTCAAGCAAAAGAAATGAGTATTTTTTAAAAAAACAAATCCTAATAAAAGACTGTTGATTTTTCCTCTGGGGTCTCATATATCAGGGATGTCCAACACGTCGATCGCGATCTACTGGTTGATCTCTACGAGGTTTTTGTAGATCGCGGTCGATCGCTGGCCCCCTTCCGGCCCTGCCCCATCTCCCTGCGCTGGCCTCTAATGTTGCAAAAGGGAAGCCTGAGTTTAGAAAAGGAGGCTGTTATCTGGCCAGCAATCGTAAAGTTAGTGGCTGCTTCTGTTCCTCCTCCCTCAGAAGAGCTGCCGAAAATTCCCTGACCCCCTAAGAAATGGGGCATTTCCCCTCCCCTAAAAAAGGTCAACAACTTTGAATCACTGCCAGAGTTTAACTTTGAAAGTAGATAAGTAGATCGCAGTCTCTCAGGAGTTGGCCACGCCTGTCATATATGATAGATGCTGAGGTTTATTTCATTGCTGGCTATTAAAATGATATGGCCCTTTCATTTCAACAGTATACCAAGGTGGTTGACAGAAGAGAACAACAATGTACAGTGGTACCTCTGGTTGCGCACAGGATCCGTTCTGGAGCTCTGGTCGGATCCTGAGCTGTGCATATCTGGAGGTGCTGCTTCTGCGCATGCATGTGGCGTGGTTTAGCACTTCTGTGTAAGCGCACAGCGTGCGGAGCGCTTCTGCGCACGTGCACGGCGCGTAGAGTGCTTCTGCGCATGCGGCGAAACCCGGAAAAATACTTCTGAGTTTGCCACGTGCGTATCCCGAAGGATACAGAACCAGAGGTGAACGTAAGTAGAGGTACCTCTGTACAGTCGTACCTTGGATCTTGAACGCCTTGGCTCCCAAACAAATCGGCTCCCAGAAGTGAGTGTTCCTGTTTTCGAACATTCTTTTGGAAGCCGCATGTACGACGGGGCATTTGCGGCTTCTGACTGAAGCCGCGATTTGGTTCTCAAACGTTTTGGAAGTCGAACGGACTTCCGGAACGTATTCCGTTTGACTTCCAAGGTACAACTGTATACCAAAAAATTTAAAGTATATTTACAGAAATATTGTAAAATTAATGAATGTTAGAAGGATGCTGGAAAGAAGTTATATGGCTTTAGCAGAAATGTTATAAAGAATTAAGTAAGAATAGATTGATAACGAGTTAA